TGCTGGTACTGCCACCGTAGACCAAGCTACCCCAGCCAGGTGACCTAGGGGACCTGACCCAGCCTTAGAGCCCAGAGAGCTGGTTAGCCGGGCTGCACCTTGGAAATCGGGAAGACACCTTAGCGATGTCTTCTCTGTACAAGGTTGGGCACCCCTGGTCTTGGCGGCCATCCTTGCCATTCTGCGACCTGCTTCTCAGGAAGTGTGTGTTCAATAAGTATTTGTGGCATGACTGACCGGAAGAAAATGAAGCCCTAAGTTGGTTGGGTGATTGGTGGCAGCTTGGTGGGATGAGAGAATTCAGCAGTTCTGATCTTGGGACTGCCACATATTCCCTGGAGAAAGTCTCTTCTCTGGGCCAGCGAGGCCCCTTGTGCCCACCTGGACAATGGAGCAGCAGAATGAGATTGTCTTAAATGAAGGCGTTTCAAGGTCTATTCCCTGGGTAGAGAAAAGGCCAGGACAGGGCCAGGCTGTGGGGCTCGCAGGTGGGTACTCAGTCCATGACATGCCTCAGTGTACCTGCCTCTTCTTGGCCTCAGGAGTGGGCTTTGGCAATAAGAGGCCTTCCTCTGCCTCCTCCTTCAACTGCATCAGCGCTGATGATCATCACTGAATATCCACAGGCTCCAGGGATCTCGGGTAGACCCAGGCCAGTCGGGCCAGAGAACTCCTTGTTTTTGCCTGCTTCAGAATTCAGGTACACAAGGTGAAGAGCACTGTGTGGTGGAGAAGGCACCACAACAGTTCCATGATTAGAAAAAGTGTTGTGAGCTCCACTGTGCAACTTAAATGTCAAGATTCCTTTCACCAGAGGAGATCCAATGACACTCTGGAAACTAAGTGTGAAATTCGATTCTGTCTCCCCAAAGAGATGCCATTATCTCTAGGGGGGCATTCTAATGAAGCCCCTTGGTGGGCAGAGGAGCCCTGGGCAGCAATTCCAGCAAAAAGATCTTCTGTCCCTTGCCTGCTTAGGCCGGAGACTTGGCAGCTAATTAGAAAGTGCCTTGCACCTCTATTTCTAAACTGAAAATGCAGATAACACCTTCCCATTCTTCACTAGATTTCTGTGAGGATAATTCATCAATACTTTGTGCTGAGAATTTTCTGTGCCCAGCACTATTCTATGCACTCTAGATACTCTAGAGCAGTTGATGCAGAAGCTAGGAGGGTTGTGACTCTTTTACAGTCAAAGGCACCAAGGCGAGGAGAGGTTATAGTGTTTACCCAGGGCCACACAGCTGGTAGCAGAGTTGGATTTGAACCCAGCATCCAGTACTTCTTACGTCAGGCATTGTGCTAGACGATTAAGATGTATAGGAGTTTATATTTGAGAGAAACAGGCACATGCACAAATAGTTACGAAAAAAGGAAGGAAGGAAGGAAGGGAAATCACTTTTAACTGAGTAACACCTTACATAAGTTCAAGGTGTTACTTTGCTTCTAAGGGGGCAGAAAAGCACGATGCCTGTCTAATCCCATCATAAGGGTCACAGTTGAGACCTCTGTAACAAGATAGCCAACAAGAGAAAAGCACTATACATTTATTTACCTACAATTTCAGGTGACAAAGAGGAATGAAGAAATGAAGACCCAAAGGTCCAGGGAAACCCGTCTGTTTTCATGCCTAGGTCCCATGAAGAATGGACCGCTGCATAGAAATTTGGTTGGACCAAAAGGGAGCATTGTGATGTAGTAGATCAGACAGGGTGATTTCTTTATGGTTGCATAAAGAGAAGGTTAGAGTAAGAGGTTAGATGACCTGCCTTGGGGAAGAGGAATTCTGGTTTCTGTGACTTCCTGGAGGGTGAGGAGTGAGAGACAGGGGCAGGACAGGACTGGAAAGTGGCTGCTTCTGACCTTTTCCTGTGTCCCTCAAAGTCCTCAGCATGGCAAACACCATACTTTGGAGTGTTGGTTTTTCCCCAACATTATTGTTTCATTAGTCTATATGATTTACATATGCAAATATACATATACACCCTATAAATTTTTTATCTGTTTGTACACGCGTGTGTGAGACAGATCTTATTAACATGGGATGGTTCAAAAACTTTCCCCTCCCCTCCTGGGCTGGTCAAAGTGAACTTTCTAACCCCTTCAGTCGCCCCGTCTCCCCATCCTTTCTTCCAGTGTCTGAGTTCAGGCCCGCCTGGCAGGCAAGTTCCTCTGCTCTAGTGGTGCAGCCACAGGCCCAGGGCTTAGGAGGGAGGAAACCAGGAGAAAACCTTAGCTGAAAGGTTAAGACAATTTTCATAATAATGACCTGGGAGGGAGGAGGAGAAAGGAAAGGAAGGGGCGGAGGAAAAGGAAAGTGAGGAGGAAGGAGGGGGAGAAAGAGAGGGTGAGGGTGGGGAGCGCTAGGGTGATCTGAGGGAGAGGGCCCAGAAGGAAAGCCCTGCAGGCGGGGACAGCAGAGGCCTACCAGGGGCAGCTAAGGGAGTGCAGTGGGACAGCAGGAACACGGCAAAGGACCTATGAGTAAAGCAGTGGAGTTGTCTGTGGGTCCCTTTACGTGCTCTTAGAGAGCCTTAGGATAAGAATGGGATTCACTCCTCCCTCCTGGGCTGTGGAATGTAAGGTGGGTGCCCCCCGGGTCCTTTCACAGCACCCTGTTCTCTCTTCACAGTGTGGCTGGCAGGGGAGGCTCTTGTTTGTCTTCACACTACACTGGGAAGTCCTGGCCACAGGGAAAGGGTGGGGCCCTGGCTCCTCGTGGCTTCTCCACAACCAGCAGTACCACAGCCCTCCCGGCGCGGGTGTCCTCACCCACAGGGTAGGACCCACTGCCACTTTCTTCTGCCCAGATTCCCACCAGCCTGCTCCTGGGAAGCCTTTCCTCAGCTGCCTGGCTTCCAGCCTGAGTCTGGGTTCATGGTCCTTTCCTGCTTGTCACCCATGTCAGAGCATAGGGGAGAGGGGCTGTGCGCCGGGGCCTTATCAGGAAGGAAGACTGTGCTGCCTGGTCACGGACCTGGCGCCTGTCATGGTGCCACTGGCCACTCACAGGACTAGGCTTGTACTCCACTGTGCCCGTGGCTCCTGGGGACTCCCACTCTGTTTCTCCGTCCCTCCCAATGGATCCCTCCACTCCCTCCTACTTGAAGGTGGCCTTGACCAGGAACTCCCACGGACGGAGGAGAACAGCAAGAGAAGGGCTGCTGCCCCCGATTCCGCAATGGGATCCTGAACACACGGCACTCCTAGTGATCCCCAAGCTATCGTCTCTCTGTCAGGATAGCAGAAGAGGGGAATCTCACAGAAAGAATTCATGTTTTCCAAAATGGGAGGAGAAAGGCATTTCCCCAGCCGCACTAACTTCTCTGGGTTACAGTCAGGACAGGAGGCTGTGGCAGGAAGAGTTGACTGGATGCTGCAGGCCACCTGTGTCGGTGTGCCTCTGGCACTGCCTGTCATCCAGTTAGGTGACAGCCAGGTACCCTGTTCCCCCCTTTACCCAAGGAAGGTAAAAGATCAAAGACCTGTGCCAGGCCTGAGGGTCAGACCAGCACCACCTGCTCGGGGCATCCCGGCCTTTGTGAACTGTGAAGGGCTCAGCGCAGCGCCTGGCAGCCAGGAGGCGCTCAGCAAGTGATGGCTATCCTGATTCCCTGGGCTGCCAGCACCATGACGGCCGCCTGGCACTGTGCTCATCTGGGATAACACCGATCATCTCTATGATCTCGGTCGGTATTTTCCGAGGGTCTGGTTCCTGTATTCCCAGCACCTACCACACCTCCTGGCACACGGGGAGCCTGCAGTGAATGCCTAACAGAGCCAAGGCTACAGAGCTAAGCGTGCCCTCCACTCCCCTTCCCCTTCTGTGGGCCTTGGCCCTGTGGCCAAAACCAAGGCTGGTCTCCTGGGGGAGAGGCACCTCCCTATAGATCTAGCCCTCCTGCCAGGGCCTGGCTCCCCTACCCTCCCTAGGCTGTCCTGGGACACACTCTCAGGCACCTAAAATTCCCAAGGACCTGGAGGAGCCAGTGCCTGAGCTGGGGCAATTCTGGACCATGGAATTAGGATTTTCTGCATAAAATATTAAATTTTACATTTAAAGCTGTCTGTCACAGATAATTTGTCAGAAGGCCAAGACAGGTTTCCCCTGCGAGGGAGTCAAATTTTAGCTAAGACAGGACATGGGTGTAAGGCACAATCGAGTCACCCAGTGACTGGACACTAACACTCTCACCCAGAGACCCCAACGCAGGCCCCATATCCATTCCAAGGCGGATCCTTTTCCCCAGGCCCCTGGTCTGGAAAGGTCCCTGGGAGTCCCCATCCTGACAGGGGCAAAGTGCTGCTTCTGGATTGAACTCTCTGACGCTGCTTCTCCTCTTCCCTTCGACCTCCTTCCCTTTCATTCGCAGTTGCCAGCAAGAGTTCAGTGTTACCGGGAAGGAAAGCGTTTGCAGTAAGAGGCTTTTCTACACATACTCCACTCACCACTTCTCAGATGTCTGAAAACAACCTCCAAACCTTCCCCATTCTAGGCCACTGGCTTCCTTGGGGAAGGAAAGCCTCACATTTACCCAGGAGGGCAAGGAAACACATCCTTTGGTGTCAAGGAGAGGTCAATTTCAATGGCTGCCCCCAACCCCAACAAAGCATGAGAGGTTCTCCCAAGGAGGGGAAATGATGGCCAGGCAAGGTTTGTTTTGTTCAATATATATATATTTTTTCTGTTCCAGTTAATTGTGCCAAGCCCAGAACTGACACAGGGTTGCGGCAGCCCCACTTGAGGACAGACCCCAGCCCTTTCTCTCTGTAGCACATGCCCTGGGATTCCACACTGTGGAGACCGCTTGTCAGGGAAGCCCTGCATTTGCCAGGCAGGTTCCCAGAATGGCTTAGGTTGTGACTGCCACTATACAGCGTCCACACAGAGCACGGCCTCTTCTGCTTCCTTTAAGCAGACTGGCATTATCAGGAGGAGGTGCCAGGGCCAGAGACAGGCCCTCTCCTCACTGCACCCTTGGGCTCAGGCACATGCCTACCTTTTTCTCCTTGTCACCATATTCGACGCCCAAAGTGTCCATGGCCCGGACGATGGCTGCCAGCGACTGGATGGTGTTGCTGTAGACAACAGGCTTGTACTGCTTCACGTCCTCCCCAGAGAAGCCATCTTCATGGATGATCCTGCAGAAAAACCACACACAGCACACCTGATCACACACTGTCCTCACGCCATGCAGAGGGCGTCGGGCATGGGAAGCCCCGTCCACACCCTGGTTTAGTGGGGTGAGGGCTGAATCCTACTGGGATGATGAGTTATTGAGTTGCTGCATTAATGCCACAAAATATGAAGAAAAAAATCTTAATTACTGAAAAACAGAATATTGAAAAAAACCCTCATGTACAGTGAAAGAGGTTGCTAGTACTTGAGAGCACTTAGAAGAGGAAAGCAAACACTAAGTGCTCAATACATGTTAGTTATTGGTATTTTAAGCAAAGCTTAGGATCTTAAGACAGGTATGCACTCAGACATACTGTGGAAAATCTCTGCCAGGGGTCTGTAAATGAAGGACCCAGTTTTTCTTTCAGGGGAAACTCCCAGTGCTTTTGACCAAGGCAGGATGACCCACTAAGTCACCAAATAACCCATGGGGACATCCACAGGAGGCGCTCCCTGCTCCTCCACCCTGGTCAGGGCTCTAATGGCCCAGTCCACATTACTCTGTAACAGTGACTGACACGGAGCCCACGAAGGGGACATCACAGTTCTCAGACACATGACGTTCCCTGGGGGCCACTCAATACGCGCTTGCTGCTGACAAGGATCTGGACAGGACCGAAAGCTGGAAAGAGGAAGTCATTCCGAAACAGCACGAGTGCTCTTCCAATTGAAGCAAAGGAGAAAGAATAAATGGATTTTAAGGCTAACTGCTGGGACGTGTGTCCATCAGTGGGCTGTGTGGACTCTTCTTTGTGGATCAAGGCTGAGTGCTGTGGTGACATGTGCACATGCCAACCTAACGGCCCAGCCCTCCCCTCCGCCCCTTTCCATCCCTCCATTACCTTTGGTGCAGAAATACCATCCTTTAAACCATCCTTTTTAAAACAGCTTTATGGAGATACAATTCACATACCATGTGACCCATCCATCTGAAGTATTCAATACAACATTTTAATTTATTCACAAGTCGGGGCCACCATCACTGCAATCGAATTTTGGAACACTTTTGTTGGCCACCGAAGTAACCCTCAGTAATCACTCCTCAACCCCCTCCCAATCCTCAGCCAATGCTAATCTATGCTGTTTCTATAAATTTGTCTACTCTAGACAGTTGCTGTAAACTGAACCACACAGTTATGGGGTTGTTTGTGAGTGGTTCTTTCATTCACAGCACTGTTTTCAAGATTTACCCATGTTGCACATGTTCACATGGTTCATTTGTTATCCCTGAATAATATTCCTTCGTATGGAAATACACTTTTTCTGTATCCAGTCACCAATTGATACACACTCATGATTCCTGTTGTAAAATCAGACTTGGTGATGGGTTGTGGGTTTTCATCCTGAGTTTCTCTAAGAAGCAGACCAGAAATGACCCTAAAGCCTTTCTTTTTTTTTTTTTGGGGGGGGGGTACTGGGGATTGAACTCAGGGGCCCTCGACCACTTAGCCATCCCCAGTCCTATTTTGTATTTTATTTAGAGACAGCGTCTCACTGAGTTGCTTAGTGCCTCGCTTTTGCTGAGGCTGGCTTTGAATTTGCAATCCTCCTGCCTCAGCCTTCTAAGCCACTGGGATTATAGGAATGTACCACTGCAACTGGCCCTAAAGCCGTTCATTTGATTAGCTCTAAATTGATTTTTTCGAAGGCCTCCTGAGTGTATATGACCCATCCAGCCCACAGGTGCCCTATCCTGAGAGACCTCACAGGGAATTGCTAGCTCCCACGGTACACAAATGGGAAACTGGACAGAACATTCGAAACCAGAGAATAGGCAGTGTGGGGCTGTGATCCCCCTGAGTCCTGCAATTGCTGGGAGGCGTCTACCGGTCACAGCACGGGGAAGGAGCAGAAGTACAGCAGGGCAGCCCTCTGAGCCACAGAGAGAGCTAGAGAGAAGAATGCGGAGGGAAAGATCCCAGGGCAGCTGTGTGGGCCTTGCATCTGGCTGGTGGGTGAGGCGACAGCTGGGCGGGGAGAATAGCCAAGGGAAGGACCAGCCTTGGAGCTCACACGGGCTGCACACTTGAGCACTCCCTGGGGCTGGGGGATGCACGGGTTCTGGGACAGTCCTTGCAGAAAGCCTTGATGTTCAGCAGACACCCCGGAAGGCTCATGCCATGGTAAGAGTCTCCCCGAGACCTGTCCTGCCAGTGCTAGAAAACAAGCCTTGAAAAAATCACAAGTAACTTAACCGCCTGATGGAACAAGGCCACTGCTCCGTGAACGAGGATGACAAAATCCAACACTAAGAGAGTCAGGATATCACCATCCAATAAAACATTCCTGGATACGCAAAGCAGCAGGAAAGTGTGGCCCACAATGAGAAGAATTAATCAGCAGTGGCGGAGGTGAGGAAATGGGCAAGAATGTAAAGATATGTATTTAAAAATATTTTCAAGGAAATTTTCTTAAAAGAAATCGTGAATGTGATCAGGAGAGAAATGGAAGACACAGAAATGAAAATAAATAGCTGAGATAAAAATTTCACTGGATGAGATGAACAGATCAGACACACAGCAGACCAGTGAACTTGAAGACAGCAACGGAAATTATTCCAACAGAGGCAGAGGAGAAAAGGGCTGCCCGTGTTAGTTCATAACGAACGTAAACCCTATGTAACAGGAGGGATGTACACTGTGCAGAGACTCCCACGTGAAAGACGTGGCGTGTGATCTGAGAGCACAGTGTGACACCTTGGTCATATATCATGGACTCCAGAGCAACATGGACAAGAAGGGCAACAGCCACTCGACTCCCCGAAGAGGATGGGCTGACCTGAGCAGCGCTGGGGACGCGCTTCCAGAGCTGCTGGACCAGCTGGCCTTGCCCACATCCCAGGCCCCTGGCTGCCAACAGAATTTCCTTCCACCTGGGTTGGGCTCATCGTTTTTTCTCACTTGGTTTCATTGATCTCGACATTGGCCGAGTGAGGAAGGAAGGGTGGGTGTTTATTAGGCTCATTTGGCTGAAGACGAAACTGAGGTGAGAGAGTAACAGCCCCATGTCCCTCAGCAGGTTAGTGTCAGAGCCAGGAATGCAGCCCAGGTGTCCAAGTCCGTGGTCCTTTACCACACCTTAAACCACGCCCTGGACGAGGCAGAACACTGTCCGGCAGGTGTCAGATGGTGGCTCATTTGTGGTTTGCAAAAATGATGCAATTTGGGAAAAACTCAAACTCATGCTCAAGTCATGATTATGAGTCTTGCAATTTGTTAAAGCTGTAGGTTACAACTGGGCTTGCTGTCTCAGGGCAATTTTATACCCCTCACCCCCAACTATAAAGTACCAAGCACTCACTCAACACCAAAAAACCTGGACGGTCCAGGGCGATGTAAGGAGTACTCTTCGTAATCCCCCCACTTGGCAGAAGACATGGACCTTTTAATGTAAGGCCTTCCACAGCATTTTTCCATGTCACATTTCCTCTTTTCTCCCCAGCTCTGATCCCAGGCAGATCTCCTTCACAGTATCAATACAGCCCCTTTATTTTCTGTCTCCCCATGTCATTCCAGAGAGGCACAGCAGAGGGGTGGTTACAGCTTGGGCCACAGACAGGCCTGAGCCAACGCTGGCTCTCCCAGTGATGAGCTGTGTGTCCCCAGGGAAAGCTCTGGCCTCTCCAGCCTTGCTGTCCTCATCTGCAGGAAGGTGTCGTGAGAAATGGCTCATCGGTACATGACAGGCAGCAGAGACTAGTAATAGTGTTCTCATTCCAAAGACAAACCCTCCAAAGACAATCTCCTTCATTTGTGGTTTACGACTGACAGAATTCCACCTGCAGCCCGTGTCAGAGGGTCACCCTCCGTGCTGAGCGCTTCACATGCTACATCTCATCTCTTGTTCAAAACAATCCTGGGGCATAAAAATCACTGTTGCCTCTGACAGATCAGGAAGCCGAGGTCAAGGAGGTCCTGCCACTTAGCTGAGATCACACAGCTGGTCAGTGGCAGAGCAGCCCCTGAGGTCCTACTTGTGGCAGGCAGGGGCTGAGAGGCAGGGCTTCTTCCTCCGCCCTGGGCCCCTCTTATCCACACTGCAATTGAAAGGTGGCCTCTGGGTGGGGTTGGAGACACACCTCAGAGGAGTTCAGTGTCATGGGATAGCCCAGGTCTGAAGCTGGAGGTGACAGAGGCCTGGACTTAGAAACCATCTCCGTGAGACGCCTTAACAACAGTCAGTGATGCTGAGCGAAACAGCACCTGATCAAGTCCCAGAGACATGAGCTGAGCCCCTGGATCCAACCACTCCTGAAGCCAATCTGTCCCTATACTTTTAAGTGATGTGAGCCAAAATAACTTCCTCTTATTTTTGTGTAAGCTAATGTGATTTGCATTTCTATCACTCACAACCAATAGTCATGATTAAAATGTTTTGTAACTTGATAACAATAAATTATCTCCCAGTAGACTTATTGATTTTATTTTATCTTTACCACCAGCCTGTCACCCTCTGCTCCCTCTTCCCATGTTACCTGGCACAGGTCAGGGCTCTCCGCGGAGCTTGGGGCAGGTGGGACATAATGATATAAGTCAGGTGTACATAAAAGGAGGCGGACAAGGTGTGTGCCTGTGTGCGCTGAGGCGGGGGCCACCATATTTCTGATGCCAGCAGAATCAGGGTTTCAAAGTGAGGCCCTGCTCGCTGTGCACTGCTGTGCTCCCACAGCTCAGGGGCTTCGAGTGGTGTCCCAGTCCCCCAAGCCAGAACCACGGGGAGTGGGAGGGCTGACCACCAGGGGCTGCCGGCAGCCCTGAGAACTCCACTTTGGACAAAAGCTGAGTTGGACTCTGCAAATCGGATGGAGGCTGGGAGGAGATCTCAAGTGGAAGTGTGGGGGTGGGGGTGGCAGCCACGCCCCTGGAGCCAGGCAGGGGTGGAGGGACACCTCCCCCACCCACTCCACCCTTCTTTGCTGCCTTGGGGACCCTGCAGGAGGCCCAGACTTGGGCTTCCTCTGCTG